CTAGCACGTCCAAGAAAGTTAGAAGAGCACTTTCAAGAAATCCTTCATTGGGCCGCCCCTAATTCCCCTCCCTCTCCTTGTGATCCCCATAGTGTTTATAATACATGCACAATTAGGACATGCCACCATTGTAAGTATACAGGGTGAGTGAACAAAAAAGGAAACCCAAATGGCGGGACCATTTTCTTAATAACGTTTTGCATGTAGTACTTTCAAAATCTAGGATATGAAAGCCGATTCATAAGCTTTCTTTTAGTACAAGAATCATTCAAATCACTCATATGTACTTTTCAAGTTACGGAATTTTAAACACAACCACTGTTTTAAAGTTCTGTCCACGTATCACAAAAAATGGTGTGTGTTCTTTCAGCAAAACGAAAACAATTCCAGCGCATCCCCCTATATGTGAATTGTTTTCGTTTTGCTGACAGAACTTTTAAGACGGTGTTTGTGTTTAAAATTCTGTAACTTGCAAAGTACATAAGTGATTTGAATGACTCTTGTACTAAAACAAAGCTTATAAATTGGGCTTTCATATCTTGATTTTGATAGTGCTACATGCAGAACTTCATTAAAAAAATTTGTCTTGCCATTTGGGTTTCCTTTTTTTGACTCACCCTGTGTAAGTTACTTGTAGACAATCATAACAATTTAGATATGATTTTTTAATTAGTTTTGCAACCGTTTAAACTTATCTTTACAGTGTATGGTAAACATAGTTAACCGATGGAAAAGTTGTGATTTACCAGCAAAAATGATGATTTTCCCTCGTTTGAATCAAGCTGCTCTAATGTACCGCCTCTTTACATATTTAGGCCACGCCCGCAAAAGGGTGAAAATAACACGTTAGAATGTTAGAATTTACAAAGTGAATGTAAAAAACAGTTTTCTGAGTTTTCTTTTTTTTGCACTCCCCTTTTTGAAAAATCAAGCTCCGCCCCCCAAATGGGCAAGATCCAAGATGCGTTCACCTCTAAAAATTATGTTCGCCCATTTCAATTTGACATGCCAATTTCAGAATTTTACCACCAAACTGAATGATGTTTTCCATATTAGAACCAAACTGCTAATATATACCGCCTCTTTTACCATTTAGACCACGCCCACAAAATGGGTGGAAAATTAACAGGTGTTAGAATGCTAAAATGTCTTATTTCATGTTTAAGTTTATTTCAAAGCGTAAAAAAACAAGGAAATTTGATTTTAAATACAGTTTTCATGAGTTTGTATTGTTTGCACCCCCTTTTTTTGAAAAATCAAGCTCCGCCCCCAAAATGGGCAAGATCCAGGATGGGTCCCGATCTTAAAATGATTTTTAGCCCATTTTGACCCCACATGCCAAATTTCATGCTTTTACCACAAAGTGCACGATTTTTCGCTTAGCAGCTCCACTAATTGTAGGCCTATACGCTAGCTCATAAATTATTTACTTAAGTTATACCGTAGGCATTCATATTTTTGCATTCATATCAATGTTAAACCGACTATAAATTGGGCCTATAGTGCTTAAAATCGCACTATAAAGAACGCGTGTTCTTTATTTATACTTCAGATTTGCATTTCAAGTCAACATTATGGGACACATTGTGCCTCCCCGTCTGTCTACCGCGAATACATGTATGCATGTTTGGCACCAACAAGGCAAGACAAATTCAATAATAGAGAGATTAAGTTAAGCGTTTTTACTGAACGCGTACGGCAACGCATACTGGAAGCTTCTTCCAGTATGTCCAGTACGCGTTGCCGTTCGAGGACGCGATAAAGAGTTTAAGTTGTCCGAGACCCTGCTGAAGTACGTGTTCGTACGGGAACAACTATGGCAGCGAGTGTCGTAGGCGTACGCGTTCTTGCGAGAACGCGTAACTTAACCTCTCTATTTTGAAAGTTGCCTGAACGTGAAAATGAAGGACACGGTATCATATAAGCCAACCCCGTTCTATAGAAGGGCTTAACTTGAAAGAAAAAATATTGCGGGTTGAGGTGGACATTATTGTAACATTAGTGTCATGAAGTACTTTTAATGAAACGAGATTTGGGTAAACGGTGTTCTCATTGTGAATCTTATAAAAAATAAAGGAGGAATAAAATTTTTAATAAAAACATATGAATAACCACAGTAAAAAAAATCATCAAAAACTTAATTCCAACAAACACTTGTTTTCGTATACACACAAAATCTAAAAAGAAAAAGAAAAAAAAAGAGGCATTTTGTATCAACAAAGACAATGTAATACGAATAGAATCTTTAAAAGAAACATCGAAAAAGCTAGGTGTCACGTTGGACTTTTTTCCTCGGGTAAATACTTCATCCATGACGACCAAAACTACACAATACCATCTGTTTTATCCTGGAGTATTTGTTTTTTTTAAACAAATGTAGCAAGTATATCTTTCCAAAGTAGAGGTTTTACTGATTTTTTAATGAACATTCACGTTTCAGATGTCATGCGAAAAACAAACAAAATGGCACACGTGGAACATTTGCGATGTCCAAGTGTCGAAATAAAAGTCATCCAAAATGATGACATATCCAAGGTAGCAAGCCCATGTGGGGCCCATATGGGAAATACCTGGGGAACCTGGGAACGGGCTAACCTCTATGTATCCCATATGGGACCCACATGGGTTATACCATGTGGGGGTCTACCTGGGCTTTTCCATATGGGTGTCATATGGAAACATCCTGGGCAAGCCCATATGGGCAGAATACGGGCTGGCCCATATGAGTGTCATATGGGTAGAAACTGGGCAAGCCCATGTGGGCAGATTACGGGCTGGCCCATATGGGTGTCATTAGGGAAAAACCTGGGCAAACCCATATGGGCAGCATACGGCTGTCCCATATGGGTATCATATGGGTAAAAACTGGGCAAGCCCGTGTGGGCAGAATACGGGCTGGCCCATATGGGTGTCATAATCTGGGCAACTCCATGTGCGCAGAATACAGACTGACCCATATGGCGGTATATGGGTAAAAACCGGGTATGTGGGCAGAATACGGGCTGGCTCATGAGTGTCATTAGGGAAAAAGCTGGGCAAACCCATGTGGGCGGAATACTGGCTGGCCCATGAGGGTATCAAATGGGAAAACCGTGGGCAAAGCCAAGTGGGCAGAACACCGCCTGGCCCATTATGGATGTCATATGGGGAAAAGCGGCAATCCACTGTGGGTGGAATGCGGGCGGGCTCATGTGGGTGTCACATGGAAAAACCTGGGCAAACTCATGTGGGCAAAATATGGGCTGGCCCATATGGGTGTTACATGGGAAAAAACCTGATCTAAGTTTGAACTTCCGGTCGAGCCGGAAGTAAATGTCAAAGGAGGTAATTGCAAAGTATGAACACGATTGGTGATATTGTTGAAGAGTTGTAAGAGAAATAATTGATCATATTTCGAACATCCGGTAGAGCCAGAAGTTAAGGTCAAACGAAGTCGTGTATACTGCCAAGTTGTTGTTCAATGAATTTTCTATGGAATGGGAAAGTATGAACAAGATCGACGGTGTTGGTCAAGAGCTATAAGTTGTTTAGAAAAATGCCTTGTTGAACATGGTAGAGTTGGCATGCAAATAGGTCATGAATATTTATAACGTAACTGAGCATTCTCACTTGTGAAACAATAATTTGGGAAGAGCTTGAGAATTGCTAACAGTGATTTAGGGAAATTGTAATTATTGGGCATATATATAGGAAGTGTGCACACTAAAGATGTGAGGACAGCGAGAGGGATGGTTATGGGGGATGTGATTATGGGTATAGGGGATGTGATTACGGGGTATATGGTTGTAGATGTTATTTGTAGGGATTAATTAAAAGTAGGGAATTAATAAGTTAATTAAGACCCATAAGAGCTTCCCCATATGTTACCCAGATGTTTGCCCAGGTGGGCCCCAGACATAACCCATATGGGTTATCTTGGCTGGCCCATGTGGGTCCCATAAGAATCTTGGGTGCATGTGGGTCCCATAAGGATCTTGGGTACAAAATTATTTGGGGCCCATATGGGTCCACTCATATGGGGCCCATATCCTGGCCCAGATGGGACCCATAACAGCTACCCCATATTGTACCCGTATGTTTGCCCAGGTGGGCCCTAAAGCTAACCCATATGGGTTATTTGGGCTGGCCCATGTGAGTCCCATAAGGATCTTTGGTGCAAAGTTATCTGGGGCCCATATGGGTCCGCCCATATGGGACCCATATCTTAGCCCAGATGGGACCCATAACAGCTCACCATATTGTACCCGTATGTTGGCCCAGGTGGGCCCCAGACATAACCCATATGGGTTATCTTGGCTGGCCCATGTGGGTCCCATAAGAATCTTGGGTGCAAAATTTTCTGGGGCCCATCTGGGTCCTCCCATATGGGACCCATATCTTGGCCCCGATGGGGCCCATATGCCACCCATATGGGCTTGCTACCTGGGTATGTTCATTTACCCTATACCTTGAAAATCACGTATGTTCTCCTTCTTACAGCCTTTTTTTAAGAAATTATGTGCGGCATGTGCCCAACTCAAAATTGTGACTTTTCTTACGATCTTTCTATTAACGAGCTCGAGGATTGTCGCGAGATCTGGCGGGTTTTAACGAGATTTCATGTAGGGCGCCAGGTGTTGGCGATTAACATGCCAACGGGTCTAGGGTAGTATTGCGAGGTAATTCCCTCGCTTCCCCGGTTCTACCCGGTTCCAATATGAGAACCGGAACCGCGAGTCCAATCTTTTCGAGAACCGGGTTACAGAGCATTGAACCCAATACTGGCCCTGTACCATGGATGATTTCGTTTGGTTAAGCGGTTTATGTACATGTACTATAAGGCCCGTTATCACGCATCCAACCAATTAAGGCAAATCCGTTCAGTGCATTTGGTACTACAGCTCAGAACAGTCGTTCAATCCTCCTGTGTAGAATCCGTGAATTAATTAAACAAACACTAATTTGAAATTGGGCGTTTACGTTTTTGTTATTCCAGATAGTTCATCTATAGTAAGGGAACGACGTACGTTGAAACCATGAGCGCCATCGACATCATCACTGGGGCCAAGTACGCGTTGACGGGGTGTGCCGCGGTGGCCACGGTGGAGAATCTCTTGGTGTTAGTGGTGTTTGCTTGTACCAGCCGTCTCAGAATGAAGTACTACGGCTTCCTCATCAACCTGACGCTGGCTGACTTGTTCTACGCCGTCATGGCCATCGCATTCACTTGGGGAGGATCTGAAATACTCTTCTCTATCTTCATCTCAGGCTACTTCGTCGGCGTTTGGACGATCCTTGCCGAAGGCATCAACCGCTACCTGGCAGTGTCCTTTGTGGACACTGCTCGCTACGACGTGTTGGTCACCAGGAACCGCTTGGTGGCAGTTTGCGTTCTCATTTGGGTCGTCTCAGTCGCGGTCCACATCCTGCTGGCTGTCCTGCCGGACTCTGACTTTGAATCCCTCTTTGACGGAGTGATCAAGCCCCTGACTGTGTTCATCTTTTGGCTGATAACCGCCGGTCTTTACATCGTCGTTTTCCGTAAGATCAAGGGTTATACTACTCCTCTCGCATCCAGCCCGCCATTGCAAGCTTCATGCATCGAGGATCAGGTCCGCACCCGAGTGCGTCAGACCCGCCGCTTGCTGGTCACTTTCACTCTGATTCTAATCACGTCATTCATCTGCTGGATGCCGTTTAGCGTGATGCAGGTGGTGGCCCACCTTCACAGAGATTTGGAGTATCAAGATGCGGTCTTCTGGATCACTGCAACGGTCTACTGCCTGGCCCCGATGATCAACCCTTGGATCTACTGGATGCGACTGGATGGTTTCAGAGAGGGCTCCCGCCACATTTTCTGTGGGTGTTTCAATCGGGAGTTCCTTCCAGTGGATGAAACTGTCTCAGAAACTGGCCTGTAAAGAAACATTTGTGGCATAGGCCTACGTAGAACATGCAAATACAGCATGGTTTGATGGGGAAAAGTGGGAATTACTGGTTCCGAGCCAGTGTAGGTCAGCTTCGCGTCGGGAGGTAATCCAGCTGACCTACACAGTAATTCCAACTATCCTCCAGAAATATACCATGCTGATGTATTTCTTTTACTTATCCTCATAAATATTTAGTGCGGCCTCGCTGCCTTTTAAGTAGCCTCCTGACTTGTCGATTTTAAACGGCCTTCGTAGTTTTGCATCTTTATTCAGCACAAGATATTCAAGTTCGTCGTCAGTCAATGAAATAATCTGGTGCTAATGTAACCTGGAAAAATGACACACTTGGGGATTCAACTCGACACAAAGAATTTAATACAAGACCAGGATCTAAGAACAAGTCGCGAACTATTTTATTAATTAAAGGATTTTAAAATGAAACAAACTTGAGACCAAACTAACCATGAAAAGCTGATGACCAAAAACTGAAACGAAAAGAGCAAAACCCATAGCATAAACTATAACCAACACAGAGCATCAATATAATGGACCATAAATGCACTCTGACTGAAACCTAAGAATAAAGAAAAGGCAATTAAGAAAAGAAAAGAATACAATTAAGAAATTTATCAAAAGAAAGTTAAATTGGTTATATAGTACAGTCTAACTCTATTATGTACAGCATGTTTATACACAAGGTCACTAATACCCAACATATACACAATGGCAACACAAGTTTCTGGTTGAATATCTAATGAGTACTAATCCATGTACCTTATGGGTGCACACCCGTAAATCCGCCAAGCTCATGAATAAAAGTTATACCGACAAAATATTCTATATTAGAGAGTTCTGAGCGCCGTAAAGTTGGGAAATTGAAGAGATATGGTAATGAACCTCTGGCCCGGACTTGGGGCTTCCAATTCTGAGCATTTTGGATGCTATTAGGCTCGAAAGTGGCGCTATTTTGCCATGTTGTGGAGGGATCGTTTTTCAAGATGGCTACTTTTCCGCTTTGGGGAAAATAGGGGTGGTCTTCTTTGGGTGAGAATATCTCGAAAAGTCAATGGTCAACCCCCACCCAAAAATGAAAAGAAAAAGAAGACGACATGTTGATCATCATTTTTCTGTGCAGCTTGAATACCTGTGAGAGTTCTGAGTATTTTTAAAAGAATTTTGAAGTATGGGCATTTAGCACTTGTGTCTGTGGGAATTTATTTGCACTGTTGCATCCTCAGTTCCACATAACTTCTAAGTAGACTTCACCAAGTCTAAGACAATCAAACTATGCCTCAAGGTTTCAAACAGGTGGTAAAAGTGGAGATTAACATAAAGGAAAATGCAGTGAAGGAAATGGGACTAAGACAAGTCTAATTTCATGAACACACATTGTTGTGATCTTCTAAGAAAGGAATTTATACACTTGGGTCTCTAGATCTGTGGGAAAGTCAAACCTCCTAACTTAAACAATGGTAGAGATACACTAAAAAAAGTCAATCAATCTACATGTTCTAGGGGTAAAATATGAATCTTTCTCGACAGAAATCATTCCTCCGAGCAAATCATGTCATCTTTCAAAGAGAAACCATTACTTATAAAACAAAACTTGATCAACATATTAAACTCATGAAAAACATTCGTCCAGCCTGTAAAACTAATCAAAGAAAACCGAATTCCTATAAAAACAGTACTCGTTCCCTAATCCAAAAATATCAAAATGGTAAGAAAGAAATCATAATTGTGCAGAATCCGAAATCACTGACCATCATGTGAAAGGAAAATCTCAATGCTTTAAACTTAAACTTTCACAAAAACTTTCCAAAGACAAAAACACACTTTAAACCATATCTAAGTAAAAACCTTCAAAAAACTGCACTAAAACTCAAAACATGATTATACAATATAAAATAAACAAGAATCTCACCAGTTGACTGTAAGCAGATCAAACACAACACAGGGCAGGTGCTCCCAAGAAAAGGGGAAAGAGAGGAAGCTCACGAATATAATACAACACTCTTCTATGCCGCTGGTCTGCTAAGTGAAGGGTCTGTGGACTTATAGGGTGGCAGAGCACATGGTCTTATCTAAGGGGTTATTGTTCTAAGGGGTCATGTTACTGGGGAAGAGGGAAAAGTTAATCAGGAAGATACACTACTATGAAAGGATGGGAGATGCTAATAAAAAAAGCTGGATTAATTCAGGGGAGATACTCCTATACTAAAACACAAAAAAAATACAATGAAAAACTACAAGTCAAACTTGGCTCTGCCACACCAACACTCTTTAATGTGTCTTTACTGCAGTTCAAAGACTACAAAAACAGACTGGTTCCGTAAGGATTACATGCCCTAGACTTCATGTCTACGAGGCGGGTTCCAGAGGGAATTGTTGGTGCTACCAGAAAAAAAACCTGGATGACGTCAGCTGCGAGCGTCTCATTTCTACTTCCCAGACGCGCGGCGGAATCGGCCAATGACGTGCTCCAATTTGATCCTGATGTTTATGAGGTGTAGTAATCATCTAATACTATCCGATTCGTTAGTGTGACGTCAGTTCCCTGGCCATAAACGCCCCCTGGCCAAAGTTGGAACCGGACTAGCTAACGCAACTGTAGTGTTTATCCAATGAGCGCTAGTAATTCATGGTGCGTGCGCGTGTACGAGGTTTTTACCAACGAACCGGATACTTTGATGCAAACGTTTACAAAGTTGTTATTGTCAGTTGTAATATTTGAAGAATTTGCACATAGTAGTTTAAAGGTTTACAGGAATATCATGGAATCCTGCAGGGATTTGCTGTCAAGTGCATGTTGAGACGTCTTATTTCGGTGGCTTACGACTCAAATCTTGCAAACTTGCTTCAGTATACACTGGTTATGATTCATTTAAAATTTGTTTGTTTTAAATTCGGGAAACATATTTTTTTTCTTAACGATTTAACGGAATTTGTTTAAAGCTTGTATATGTTTCGACTTTCGAGGACTTAGTCTCGGGCTAACTTAATGGCGGGAAAATTTGTAATGAGAGTTGGCAATACCTTTACACATACATTTACGGAGAGTTTGTACTAAGCTGATCGAAGTTTTCAGACTATACATTCTGAACTAACCGACGCCCGGGGCCATTGCGATGGTTGTTTATTAACTTGGCTTTAAAGAGTTGGTATTTTTACTTGATAGTTCTAACAATTTGTGAATAAACTTTATAGTCATAAACTCCCTATGACAGTTTACCCATTCCTATTGGTCGAGAGCCCGTCACGTGGCCGGTCTTAAACGGATGATAAAGACATGGCTGGCTGGTCTTGACATCGTTTCCAGTGTCACATGAAAAAAAGATGCTCACAAAGGAAAATAATGATCCTTTATACGTACTATAATTTTATCACGGTTTTTGCTATACAATAATATTAGAAAATTTTCAACCATGGGGCATTAGTATTAGATTACGTGGATTAGTTTAATTTCAAGAATAAACAATAGCAGAAAAGTATAGTAATTATTGCTATTCACTTAATGTTTATGGGTCATCGATTTTACTTATTTTACTATAATGATTTTACATTGTAAAATGTGCAGGGTTTTAGTCTGGATCTCGGCGTCAGTGTCTGTGATAACTTAGTTCAATGAATTAAATGTCTCTATGAACTGATGAAAATAGTTGCGTCCTTCCATTCATTATTTCACAGCTGCCTAAACGTGTATAGTTGACTTCGATTGGCAGTGTTGTAGTCGAGTACGTGTTTCCGAGTACCGAGTACTGCCGAGTACTTAGGTTGCCGAGTACGAGTACGAGTATTTGTACCTCCGAGTACAAGATCAGATCTCCGAGTACGAGTACGAGTACGAGTACGAGTACTTGTACGTGCTACTACGAGTATACGAGTACTCGCATTTCCGAATACGGCCATACGGCAAATGGTTATTGTGCGTAATTGGCCCAGGCCCAGTAACACCGATAAACAGACCCACTCACGGCTAGCTGTTAGATGTGTTTGTCCGGACTTGCACAGAGGAAAATCAGGAAATCTCGATTTCTCAACAAGCCAATCAACAATCTCCAACTGAAAGAATCGATCAAATAAGGCCATGGTAAGTGAAGCTATAACACCCCCCCCCCCCCGAGTACTGCTATTCGAGTACGAGTATTTTAATGATCGAGTACAATTTCGACATGTCGAGTACGAGTACTTTGCTGCCCGAGTACGAGTACCGTCATTTCGAGTACGAGTACTACAACACTGCTTCGATTCCCTTCCTCAGAACAAACTCACAGAAAAGTCTGGGAATATGGCTGACCCCGCAACTAAATGTCATTCACACTTTACTTCTGTCAGTTTAACTCATCTAGTTCCAAAGTCTACTTCAGCAGATTTTTCCCGACTATTTTGTGAACCTTGCTCTTTTGAAGTATGATCACCTGTTCATGTGGTTCTGCTAAGGTTTGCGTTCCGTTGTTATTTTGGGAAAAGTTGTGGACTCCTCAACAACCCGTACCCGTAGCCTATAGCCAAGGGTTAAAATAAAGTTGTAATCTTGAAATTAATCCCACACCATCGTTTTAAGATCAGGATATGTCATCCCCCATTAACTTAAGTTGAATTAATTTAACAGGTTTTGAGAGAACCCTAAATCTCTTTACTTAATATCCTCGACTGTTTTTCTTCTGGTTTACAGAGGAAATGAATCAAATGGTCATCTATCGTGACACATAATTATTGTAAAGCTTGAGAGGTACAAATTGGTTAAGTTCTGAGAAACATTGTCATCTATCATCACTGGCAACATAGCGTTACTGACTGCCATATAGAACTCCTTTAGCGTAAATGCCATATAGGATTCCTTTTATAGCGTAACTGCCATATAGAAATCCTTTAGAAGTTAAGTTTTAAGTAGCACTATATACATACCAGCAACATCACTCAAAATGCACATAAGAATATTCAAAACCTAACCTGTTCAAGTTTCTGATTTCGAGAACACTTTTAAAGAAAACATTGAAAACCCATGCGCAACCTTTGGTCAAGATCACAAAACACGATTTCGTTAGCAGTGTTTTTTTTATCACTGTTATATTTTTTCGTATTGTTACCAATAGAAGCTGCTGGTGTGGAAGAAAATCCCCCAGAATATTCCGTCCCCCTGACTGATTTTCATGGTTTTTCCCGGATTATTGCCCCCCCCCCCCCGCCCAAACTGTTCTCTCTTAAGAAATAATGTCTCGGAACCAACAGAAATCATGACCACACATTCACAAATAGTATTACAGACCAGTCGCAAAAATTCTCCTGAAGACAATCAGAGCATACTGACCGGAACGTCCAGTTTAGACCTCTGGTTCTTTTCGGAACCATTATCTAAGTTGAGAAATTATTCACACATGGTGTTTCCGCAAACCTTTCATTCGTTAATTCGTTTTTTTGAAAAAAAAACAAGGGTCATTGTAAAATGTCGAGCAACAGTCGGGCATGGCCTGTTTTTACATAACACACAGGGGAACAATTCTGAAGGGGGATAGAATATCCAGTCCAGGTGGACACTCATTCCTCTGATATCCCCCAGTGGCGTAGCCACGGGGGGGGGGGGGGGGGGGGGTGGGGGGGGCGACAGCCATGAAACCTTGAAACCTTGTCTCCCCCTGTCGGCCCCCCCACTGAGATTTGAGTTTCTAAAAAAAATTATCATTGATCTACATGACGGCCCCCCCCCATGAAATGTTCCAGCCCCCCCCCCCCAGCACCCCCCACTGAAAAATTCCTGGCTACGCCACTGCCATCACCCCAAACGGTTTGTGACGATAACGAAAAACCGGCCAGACGAGAAAGAGGCCACACCATGTTTGTTGACTGTATATAATGTATGTATTCAATTTTGAGCGCCCACAAGGCAATTTAGCGTCAAGCGAAGTCCACCCCCGCCTTCCCTCCGCGCTTTACAGTTTTCACCCTTTGTCATCCTCTACAAACAAGACAAGTCCTGGCGACGCCGCTGCTCATCCGCCCAAGGACTAAGACCACGGCAAAGATTCTTCTACAAGACGTCTGGGTCTTCAACGGACTCGAGGAGTTCAGTGGAGTCCCGTGTGAAGCAGCCGCAGAGAACTTTGCGGCAACCCTCTCTGAAACTATCAAGCCGCATCCAGTAGATCCAAGGGTTGATCACCGGTGCCAGACAGTAGAGCACGCCAGTCAGCCAGTAGACTTCGTTCTGGTACTTCAAGTCTCTGTGAACGTATGCCACCATCTGCATCACGCTGAACGGCATCCAGCAGATGAACGACGTGACTAGAATGACAGTGAAAGTGACCAGCAAGCGGCGGGTCTGACGCGCTCGGTCGATGAATTCATCCTCAGGCTGGCTGGGCTGCAACGCCGGGTTGGTGACAAGCTGATGTGTGAAACTCTTCATCTTCCAGAACACAGCGACGTAAAGACCGGCGGTTATCAACCAAAATAAGTACACGATCGTGGGCTTGATCACTCCTTCAAAGAGGGATTCGCCCGCGGAGAATTCCGGAACGATCTGAATCGTGAGTGAGACGATCCAAATGAGAACGCAGACTGCCAACAAGCGGTTCCTGGTGACCAACTCATCGTAGCGAGCCGTGTCTACAAAGGACACTGCCAGGTAACGGTTGATGCCTTCGGCAAGGATCGTCCAAATGCCGACGAAGTAACCCGAGAAAAAGATAGAGAACAGAATACCGGAATAATCGGGTCCTCCCCAAGTGAATGCGATGGCCATGACGGCGTAGAACAAGTCAGCCAGCGTCAGGTTGATGAGGAAACCGTAGTACTTCATTCTGAGACGGCTGGTACAAGCAAACACCACTAACACCAAGAGATTCTCCACCGTTGCCACCGCGGCACACCCCGTCAGTGCGTACCTGGCTCCGGTGACGATGTCGGTTGCGTTCATAGTGAGAGTGTCGACTCACACTGAAATGCACAAGAAACATTATAATTTATACGAGATACTTAACTTGAAAGAAAAATAATAAGTTCAACTTTGGTATGGCTGGAACTCCCTGGAAGTAACCGAAAATAATATGCAGAACTTACACACAGAACCAAAGCATAATAGTGAACGGCGGTTAACTATTTGGCTCGGCGAAATTAGGGTGCGTTCGCGATCGCGCGTGCAGAAAAATGGTTTCGTGCGCATTACTCTCGGTGAAGGAGTATACTCCGGATAATTATGACGGAGAGCATTATACTCTTGCTAACCGTACCCGCGGGTCATACTCCTACGAAAGCCCATTAGCGCCATTGCAAATACATATGTTACAGATTATTGCATTCGTTATTACGGATTATTCATTCGTTATTACGGATTATTTAGTTCGTTATTACGGATTATTAATTCGTTATTACAGATTTTTTTAATTCGTTATATTACTGAATGCCGTGTACGGTTGACAGATTTTGCAAGTCGCGTCTGGATTAGGGCGACACGCCTTATTGGGATGAAAAATTGGTGTCGCCCTTTTGTCAAAACGACCCTTAGAACAATGAATTCCATCGTCGCAACCCATCTAGATCGATTCCTCGTGGTCCAATTAGTAAAAATACCGAATTTCGTAAAGAAAGGATAAGGTAAACTTGGGTTAGGTGACATTTTAGGTCTGTGCACAAGTCTATAGGAAAGTCGCCCTATTACATGTATAGCATTAGTAGAAATTTTATCATTACGGAAGTTATTAATTCGTTATTACGGATTATTTAATTCGTTATTACGGATTATTTAATTCGTTATTACGGATTATTTAATTCGTTATTACGGATTATTTAATTCGTTATTATGAATTATTTAATTCGTTATTAGAGATTAACTCGTTATAACGAATTATAATTCGTTATTACGGATTATTTAATTCGTTATTACGAATTAACTCTGATTCTCACACGCGGAGACCACGTGACCAGGGGTCTATGTATATAGCGCCGCTAGGTGGCGCTACCTTGAGGATCTTTGCATACAACGTTTGCTTTACACCACGCAGAACCCCCCCCCCCCCCCCCCCCCCCCGTTTTCCAAGACAAACTGCTACGTGACCGTTGAAGAAAGTATTGTTAAGGGAAATTTCTGATTATCTTTCCACCCTTCGTCACCCTGTTTTGCACATTTTTTTTCTCTTTATGTTGCAATGTGAAGACACAACTGGAATTTTTCGTCCTTATATCCTCGAGTCATCATAATTTGCGCAGGCGCAGCATGGAGGAAGGACAATGCGTGTGCGTTGTCCAATTCGCGAGTGCGTAAAACTCAAAACAGGACCTAATGTGACGGTAATACTGGTCTACCTCCGTATTAACCGTCACAAATCTACGTGCATTATTTGGACGGAGAGTCCGTTGCTAAGGGAGCCGAAAATCCATTTGAAATCACAATTTGTTGTGACTTTGTACTCACACACTGCAACTGGTTAATATCAACAAAACGTTTAATTCGGCACCTTCAGAGGTCTAGTTATCTTGTAATTTCGAGATGAATTCGGTAGCGTCAGTATCACACTGGGACTGGGAGGAAGGTAGGGACAGTTGCAGAATATCCCGCCACTCAATCTATCCACCTCGAAGCCGGCTACGGATTCACGGTTGATTGACCTCAATAAACATTCTCAGCTCTACTTGTATGTAGTACAAGCTGGTTTACCCGATCATAGATCGGGTAGGGCGTAGTGTTTGGGATGAAAATGTGGGGAGTTAAATGTAAATGTGGGATATAGTTGGGGAGACATGCAGTTAAAGAATAGCAATTTCTGTGGTGTGATCTGAGGCAATTTTTGATCACTAAAACCAATTTGAGCAAAAGATCATCTGTGAAAGTTTTGAGTTTTGAGTAATTGAATTAGCTACATGTATTTTGAGCAATAGAATCATTATTGTAGGCTACAATTTTTATTCGGGGAAGAAAAAGTGGGGGGGGGGGACCAAATAATGTCCCCCCTCAAAATGTGTGTGTGTGGGTGTGTGTGTGTGTGTGTGTGTGGGGGGGGGGGGGGGGGGGGGGTTCCCCTGTCCCCCGTCGATTTACGCACATGATAATTATGTACCATGGCAACTGTCTGTAAATGTTGCCGTTGGTCTGTTAAATTGGCTTTTTGTGAGGCAGTCGCATTTGGAAAACGTAGTGAAAAGGTTACTGTAGTACACAGGCGAAGGCTGGTTGTACAGTTTGTCAATAAATCATAATGCAAAACAGCGTGAAGGTGTCATTTAAAATGAAAATGTTGAGTGTTACCATAAAATTACAAACGGTCTGAATCATGGAGGAAGGTCATAATTAAGTTTCAGTATTGGACTCTTCAACAAACGTAAACTTGAACTTCTTACAATTTGCGAGACCGTCTGCGATTCAACTTTTATTCAAGTTGGTTCAACCATCTATATATAAGAGCAAGTTTTAGTCGGCCTCCGAGAAATGTTTGCTTCTGAAAGGATCCGAGACCGCAGCTTCACGTCCGTGGAAAAATGTGGGTGTCTTCCGCCGGGTCGGACACTTTTTCGTCGATTTTTGTGTGACTTCGTTTAAGATCGCGATATTTGAAGCAATGCATCGATCCTTCGTTGACCCCAAACAGGCCCCCGAAATTATAACGCGACACTGAATTATACGTGGTGGGCAGCGAACTCACAACGCTCAGCCTTGGTGGTGGAAGCGTGGAGCTGTAAACACATTATGGAAGCAACAGCACTCTATCACGCGACGTCACATGCTTGCCCTTCAAAAAGCGAGCACCGTAGACCCAACCTCGTTTGCAGGGTGTGGAGCAGGCTGCAGTATGCGTTGCCATCGACAGTTTTGCATAGCCCGGAAATACTATGCAGTGTAGACTTTCGATTGGTCAGACCGCGCAAGGCATACTAATGTATAGTCCTTCTGAGTATTCGTTGCACTCGGCGCAGGGGCGGCAAGCAAAGCACATGAAACAATAGGGACACTTGATGGCCACGCACCATGGAGAAAAAATATTTTGCCAAGGTCACCCCATCTACCATTTGGTGGACACTTTTGCAGAACGGCCGAGTACATGTAGTAGGATAGAACACGTAAACGAAACCCCTACGTTGACCTCGCTGACCTCGCACAGTCTAGACACGCAGAAAAGCCAGCACAGGGGGCGGCCAGGCAGTCAACGTGAAAGCGCACACGACGGCAAATTCCTGCGCAAAATGCAGTCACGAAAAATAGACGAAAAGGATCGCCGGTCCGTACGGGAAAATCAGGACGACCCGAAGTGTCCGACCCGGCGGAAGACACCCTCCGTATTTTTCCACGGACGCGGAGCGATTTTGGCGCCGCGTGAGCCCGCGGTCTCGGATCCTTTCAGGAGCAAACATCGTCTCGGGGGCGAGTAAACTTCTCTCTTATATCTATATATATAAGAGAGAGTTTAACTCGGCCTCCGAGACGATGTTTGCTCCTGAAAGGATCCGAGACCGCGGGCTCCCGCTGCGCCAAAATCGCTCCACGTCCGTGGAAAAATACGGAGGGTGTCTTCCGCCGGGTCGGACACTTCGGGTCGTCCTGATTTTCCCGTACGGACCGGCGATCCTTTTCGTCTATTTTTCATGACTGCATTTTGCGCAGGAATTTGCCGTCGTGTGCGCTTTCACGTTGACTGCCTGGCCGCCCCCTGTGCTGGCTTTTTCTGCTTGTCTAGACTGTGCGAGGTCAGCGAGGTCAACGTAGGGGTTTCGTTTACGTGTTCTACTCAGCCGTTCTGCAAAAGCGTTCACCAAATTGTGGATGGGGTGACCTTGGTAAAATATTTTTTCTCCATGGTGCGTGGCCACCAAGTGCCCCTATTCTTTCATATGCTTCGCTTGCCGCCCCTGCGCCGAGTGCAACGAATACTCAGAAGGACTACACATTAAGTATGCCTTGCGCGGTCTGACCAATCGAAAGTCTACACTGCGTAGTATTTCCGGGCTATGCAAAACTGTCGATGGCAACGCGTACTGCAGCCTGCTCCACACCCTGGAAACGAGGTTGGGTCTACGGTGCTCGCTATTTGACGCGCAAGCATGTGACGTCGCGTGATAGAGTGCTGTTGCTTCCATAATGTATTTACAGCTCCATGCTTCCACCACCACCAAGGCTGAGCGTTCAGTGTCGCGTTATAATTTCGGGGCCTGTTTGGGGTCAACGAAGGATCGATGCATTGCTTCAAATATCGCGATCTTCAACGAAGTCACAAAAAAAATCGACGAAAAAGTGTCCGACCCGGCGGAAGACACCAACATTTTTTACACGGACGTGAAGCCGCGGTCTCGGATCCTTTCAGAAGCAAACATTTCTCGGAGGCCGAGTAAAACTTGCTCTTATATATAGATGGTTGAACCAACTTGAAGTTGAATAAAAGTTGAATCGCAGACGGTCTCGCAAATTGTAAGAAGTTCAAGTTTACGTTTGTTGAAGAGTCCAATACTGAAACTTAATTATGACCTTCCTCCATGATTCCAATTTTTGGTAACAACATTTTCATTTTAAATGACACCTTCACGTTTTATTGCATTATGATTTATTGTCAAACTGTACAACCAGCCTTCGCCTGTGTACTACAGTAACCTTTTCACTACGTTTTCCAAATGCGACTGCCTCACAAAAAGCCAATTTAACAGACCAACGGCAACATTTACAGACAGTTGCCATGGTACATAATTATCATGTGCGTAAATCAACGGGGGACAGGGGAACCCCCCCCCCCCCACACACACCCACACATTTTGAGGGGGGACATTGTTTGGTCTCCCCCCCCCCCCCCACACACTATTTCTTCCCCGAATAAAAATATTGTAGCCTACAATAATGATTCTATTGCTCAGAATACATGTAGCTGATTCAATTACTCAAAACTCCAAACTTTCACAGATGATCTTTTGCTCAAATTGGTTTTAGTGATCAAAAATTGCCTCAGATCACACCACAGAAATTGCTATTCTTTAACTGCATGTCTCCCCAACTATATCCCCCGCATTTTCATCCCCAACACTATACGCCTTACCCGATCTATGATCGGGTAAACCAGCTTGTATATATATAGATGCGTCATGCTCTATTGCACTCCCACTCCGTATCCGCAAACAGGTAGTTGGTTTGGACTTAAAAAATTTTTTCCGGCAACTCCCATTCCTTTTGCATGTTTTGTGTTGCTTCGTTCTCATTCTCAAGCATATTCAAGGGGACTCCCACCGCGTATCCGCGAAGCCGCCAACAGGGTTGTTGGTTTGGACATGTGCCAGATCATGAATGCACTTGTACCGAAAGCTGCTCGTCAAGTTAGCAGCGGGCAAGTCGAACCAGTGCAGGGTTTATTCCTCCATGGTCGAACTAGCCCGTTTGGCGACTCAAAAATTATTACAGCCACGGGCAAAGTTGAACAGAAAGTGTAGCGTAAAAAAATGGTTCCTTAAAGAAAAAACCTGGTTCGAATGATAAGTCGCGATTTAGTTATTAATTAAGCTGGGACAAAAAAGAAGAAGAAAAGGAATCAAGGAAACAAAAATACACTTCTCATAAATTCAATTCAGTCTCCAAAAAAATTCTCCCAGCAAAAAAACCTAACTTCTCTCCTTTAGCACAAAAAACTAGTTTCCAGAAATATTTCACGGCAAAAAATCACAATCAGGATCAACAACGAATAAAACACTCAAAAGAATTTGCCAAGCATAAAAATATAAACAATTTGATAAAATTCAGGGATGATTTTAAAAAAAGAATAAAAATCAATGGAAAAAAACGGGGAAAAAAGGAAACCCACACAGCAATAGAGGAAAAGGACTCTTAAAGATACAGAAATGAACTAAAAACCTGCAACAAGAAAATAAAAATGTTCCTACCTCCATGGTTAAAGCTAAAGTTACAACAAAGACACCATTCAGTGCATACATGATACAAGGCAAGTAAGGCATAGTATAGGAAGACTGAACAAAGGAAAATTCTTACGCAAGATTGAAGATACAACCAAACCAACTAACCTACGCGGATACGGAATGGGAGCGCAGTGGAGCAGGACGCAAGGTTTATTGAGGGCAATCAACCGTGACTCCGTAGCCGCGGCTACGAGGTGGATAGATTGAGTGGCGGGGTATTCGCGATCTGCAATATTATTGTGCCCCCCAAAAGGGAACATACAAGTAGCCAAAAGATCCGAAATAAAAGAACAACTGCCAGATTAAGAAACTCACCAAGTCCAGGAGGTCTGGTTTTTTAATAAGCCTTGGACACCAGCCAGAATGTATTATGTTCACTCACTGACTGCTAACTTGCTTATGGAGGAAGGGACACAGGCTCAATGCATGCCTTCAGCGCCTGGTCAAGCTGCATGGTCCTTAATCCATTATGTAATCAATTACAGGGGCACACACAATGCAGTTTCTGCTGGGCAACTCAGGGGTGCTACTCCTATTCACTGTACATGTTCTAATAGACTTTACATACAAAAAAACCCGCAACTTAAATTTACTTCTACTATACATCATACACGCTTCAAAGTGATGCGAAATGACCTCCAGAGCGAAATGGTGACGTAAGCATCAATTATGATAAGTGTACTTCCTCCCAGTGTGATACTGACGCTACCGATGAATTTGGACGACTTTTACAGCTATTGTTCACGAAAGGTTACAGACCAGTAAATAAACTTCCATAGACCCCAATGGTAAATGCTCCCACTTCAGAAAGTCGGGAAAAATTCTCACAACTCTCAAAGGTGTTCGAGACACACATCAAATTAAAGCTTATTTCATCATCTTTAATTTTCTTTTCAATTTTCGGGGAGTCAAGACAGTAATGACTTTTTAGGAGAAATATCCATCCGAAGATAATCACCCCTGAAAATAGACCTGAAAAACGATGCCTACACTCCATTGCAAAATAGAGCGCTTTAAGGGCCCCAATTTCATCCAAATTGAACGGAACTACAAGCTCACAGTCCTGTGCACGGCTTTCACCCATATTTTTTACAAACCCTCAAGTTCATGGGGCGCAGCATGCTCATGATACTGAAGATTTTGAGGGCATGCAAATCGTGATGTGGCCGGCGCAGGCCAGCAATTTCGGACCGATTTACTGGTCCGTCTGCAACTTATAGGTTACAGACCAGTAAATAAACTTCCATAGACCCTAATGGTAAATGCCCCCACTTTGGAAATTCGGGGAAAATACTCACAACTCTCCAAGGTGTTCGAATCACACATCAAATTATAGCTTATTTCATCATCTTTCATTTTCTTTTCAATTTTTGGGGGTCAACTAACGACTTTTAGGAGAAATTACCCTGCGAAGATGATCACCCCTGAAAATAGTCCAGAAGCCCATCGCCATTTTGAAAAACGATGCCTACACTCCATTGCAAAATAGAGCGCTTTAAGGCCCCAATTTCATCCAAATTGAACGGAACTACAAGCTCACAGTCCTGTGCACGGCTTCCACCTATAAAGTTTTTTTTTACAAACCCTCAGGGTTCATGGGGCACAGCATGTTCAAATACTGAAGATTTTGAGGGCATGCAAATCGTGATTTGGCCGGCGTAGGCCGGCAATTCCGGACCGATTTACTGGTCTGCAACCTATAAAGAAGCGAGGTTTTGAAAAAATTCCCCATAACCACTTGTACGGCACAAGGAAGGATGGAATTAATAATCGGTACAAACATAATTATGTTTTTAGTGGTGCTAATGGGCTTTCGTATACTTCTGTCGTTCGTGCGGAGAGAAGTTTATTGGCATGTATAGTTTGATCGCGTTGAACGTCTGAAAGTTTGGCCCATTAGGCATCATACTCCACTCTAGGTTTAGAGTAACAACTGCAGTAAGTGCTTTCACTTCCATTAAATTCGGCGCTGAAGTAGCACGGGATTGTCCTGGCTTAGCCAAGTCCTCACCGTGCCATCGCACCACTTTATTGAATTCGGCAGGACGATACCACGGTGTTTAGAACCATTTGGCTCGGCACGGCACTGTCTTTTGGCTGTATTCTCGTGAAATTTCGCAGCTTTTTGATATCAACCTGCATGTCGCTCTAAACAGATCGTCTTCTCATATACAGAAATGTCCAAAAGGTATAATATTCCAATGGATATGGACAAACGTGCCTTATACATCGGAGTTTTGAAGGATTGAATTGGTATGATTAATATATCTCATCATAACTGACAACATGATCTTTGAGCTTGTTTGTCAAGGTTGCACTGAGTGATTTTCCGTGGTTTGAAACAAAGCGTTTTCGTTCATGTTGGTTAATACTACTCACCTTTTTAGGATATATTCTGATCGTAACAGCTGAGCTCTTGTAACTGCGAGATTTAGTCCAACACTGTGTGGTCTCAACTTGCAAAGGACAATGTCCAATATCGCAGCCACAGATTGTGGAACATTGAGAGTCGACAAATGTTTTATGTGAGATATTTATCAAAACTTTGTTTTTTGTTATCAAAAGATTCCAAAGTTCATAGCTGCAAACATTACTTGTCAACATGATTATTTAGTTGCCATCATATAAATAAGTGTGATCTGATAAAGCTGCGCTGTCTTAAAGGCATCCATGTTAAAAAGTATCTTTAAAGAAAATATATAATATATTAATAATAAAGAAACGTTTCATGTTTGTCTGAATTCGTTATAACGCTGGCACACAAACAACTGATGTCATGGTTGTCTGCACAATACAGCTCAGACGGAGCGATGCCCGTCGCGAGATATCTGGCGCGCGCGAGCCACTAGACCCTCGGTCTCAACTAGTTGGGACGGCCCAACTTCAGCTGTTTCCGTCCCAACTGAAGCGTTCCAACTGGAACATGTACGTTGGGACGGTCCCAGCTTAAGTTGGGACCGGGTGTCTAGTTGGGGGACGTAACAATATCCAACGGGAAAAACCCGAAGCAAGTTTGTCAGTCTGTTGTAGAATCCAGTATGCGTGGGCGGATCAAGGTTTGGCTCAAGAGAGGGGGGGGGGGGGGGGGGTTAGTTCTTTGTTGATTAATCGTTTTTTTGATTAATCGTTTTTGCGGCCTAAGGGTGTTTACCATCCCCCAACCCTCACCCCACGTAGATCCGCTAGATGTGACTTTAACGGTTCAACCTTTATTGTTAAAGGGCGAGTCAAAAAAAGCGGAACCCAAACCCTATATAGTATATTTCATATTTAAGAACATATGTAGCACCAAAAATAATAACTGGAAACCCTATTTCATAAGCTACTTTTAGATGGAAAAAGTACTGAAATTGGTCGATCCGTTCAAAGAATATCACCATTTAAACACAATGGCCCTAAAACCCGTCTCGTCCAAAAATGCGATTTGAACAATCGTCGTCACAATCGTCTTCAAACATCACCAACGATGAAATCTTAGTTTAAACGTTAACAATATGCAACAAAGTCCTTTTGAAGGCCCGTCTTTTCAAAAAGTAGATTTTATAAATCATATTGTTTGCCTAAACCAGGAATGTTAATCGAAATATTGTGTACTACAGTTGGTGACAGTTGTTGAAACAAGTATTCTGTGTCATTTTCTTTGTTGTTCTAAACAACCTGTAAACTCACATAATTCTTCATCTGTTTCTAGGCGTCCAGGTCACCTTGAGGAGAAGCAGCACACTCTTCAACCGAATATGAACTGTGGTGCTTTTATTTTTTAGACACAAATAACGATCGCTGTTAACTAGCTGCTGAGTGTTAGCACTGTTTGGAGGCCCGCCGGAACGGAAAACGATTTGGCTCGTGGGCCGACTGACTGCTTCTTTGGCTTCGTCTTGCAACTCCGGGCATGCGCAGCGCAGTTCATCGCAGGGACCCGATTAATGCATGGTGGTGTTAAAGGGCTTCCTTTTCCCTGTTAAGCATATACATGTATCGGTTTTCCAGGCCGATTTCCTGAAATGTTCTTTCACTTCTGAAAATCGGTCATTAATGCATTAGTGCACACGTAAAAATCATCGAATGAGAGCTTAACACTCACGCTCCTTAGAAAGGATAATATTATTTTGTTAACAGCGCCCTCCTTCGTGTGCTTGATGATTCCAACCGACCCCAACGTCGTCCCCAGTGCGGACTTTATTTCCAATCTCGTTTTCAATAGTAAGGGGTGGACGCGCACTGCTCGACACTGCGGGGACGAGGTTGAACCAACCCCGCCGTTTAGACTGTTTCCCGCCCTCAATGGGCCTTCCTTTTGTACGTCATAGCCGTACGTACAGCTTTCAAACCTGTTATAAGTCCGTTGGCTTATGGTCAAAATTTCGGGTCCATTATTATTGAAAATTGTATCGATTATTAGTGAAATAATATATCTAGCCCTAATCCACTTGATGCCATTTTTTCTGCCCTAGGAGATTGTGTCCGGCGTTGTTTTCAAGTTGAGCCAAAATGAAGAATGTGCAAAAAAATAAATATCCATTTTACAATGTCTTGCTTGTGGGCTGGGCGTCCGTTTGGAACAAATCTGGCGAAATAAGCCCCAAAGGAGGGTCATTTATCAAGACTTTTTGCAGTAGTTTTATGCCAGATGAAGTGCATTATTTTTTTTTAACGGACAATGATTAAAAATAACGGTACAATTTTGTTCTTAAAGGGGACATACAATATTTTGTTTAACTAAAATTAGAAAACAGAGCTAGAACGTCTTTTTTTGGGGGGGGGGGGGAACAAATCCGGCAAATTAAAGTTCGGATGGATTACAAAGTATTTTTAAAACATTATTATAAGGAAGGGGGAGGAACAGGACATTAGTAAATTTTAGTTAACAATCAAATTGTGTGTCAATTTTAGTTTCAGTCAAAATAATGAACATATAGCAATTTTAAGACACGTTTAGAGATGTATAGTGGAAAAAGCATTTATTTCGCTGATTTCAGACCCAAACAACCGACAAAATTGCCCTTTCTTGCAAAATCGCTCCGACTTTTCCTACCACTTTTGGACGTAGTTTTGCGCCAAAAAACGAAGACATACCAGCTAAAATTTAAAAGAAACATTAACGAACCTTATAGGTTTGCCTATTTATTGTCTTAAAAAGTAAAGGTTGGGTTAGATTGTTGTTTTTTGTTCATATTGTTCAAGGTATGCCCCTTTTAAGTGACAACATGTGATACGCCCCAAAGGGGAACAAACATTTCCCACCCGTTCACTACACTGGAATGGAAAAAAAAAAAAAAAAAAAACACGCACCAAGCTTGCCCGTTACAGCTAGATTGTTTAGCCTTTTGACGTCACTTTTTTGTTTTTTTAATGTGGCCCCACCCCCAACAGAGGCAAAATCCTGGAATTGTTTTATTCTCATGATGTAGGCCTAGCTCATGGGCGAGCTGTCCAAATGCGAAAAAGAAAAGCTAAATTTTCGCGATCTATTTT